AAAACGTGCCTGCTGTGCTATTGTAAGGGCACTCAAAATAGCACAGCTATGGGGCACTATGACAAGGGCTGCTCAGACATTAAAAGATTAGTCCTTTCTCTGAGCACCAATAGCACTTCAGCTCTTTAGAGATGTGATGTTTTGTCTCATTTCTGAGGTTCCAAAACAACTTTTTGGGAAAACAATGTGTGTGGGAAGGGGCAGGGGGAACCACTGGAGATGATGCCCCATACATCTGAGACTGCAAAATTGTGGGAATATAATAATGGTCTTGAATATATAGTAAGTAACATTTCTGGTGAGCTGTCCAAAGAAAATACAAGTCAGCTATACCGGCTTAACAGTAGCTTGAAATTTCAAGAGCAAGTTAGATAGTTATGAAGCAAAATTGACTCAATCTATTTTTCACTACCAGTTGATACTTACTTTGGTTTTGTGCCAGTTAGCACAGCAAAGATATTTCCCTACATTACATTTGTTATTACAGTTCCCTGTGGTTATATCAGGATCTCAGGCAGAAACGGCACCTGCCATGAGCTATGCAAAGCCAGTGGTGACGATCACTGTGCTACTGAGTTGGGTATATCCAGTGGTTATACACCTTCTGAGTGAGGATTACAGCTGTTTACTTAGCTTTCAAGATAAGGATTTAAGCAAACTTGGTGCTCAGAAGCCATTACTTTGGTTTTGGCTTTGCAGAAGTCCTTTTTTTCCCCATACCCAAAGTGTATGCAATTGTGTGCATACAGCCCTTTCTCAGGAAAGAAGAACCTGAAGATTTGAGAATCTGAAGATTTGAGAAAAACACATTAGATGACATTTGAATTTCTATTGAGAGGTTTACTAAAAGCTAATTCAAAAGTTCCTGCAGCCCTATTTAAACTTCTCTTTAGGGAATTATTCATGTGCATAATACTAAAACACAGAAGATATTTTAAAATGGATTTAGAACTAGACTTTTCAGGAGACACTATATGCAGCTGAGTTTTCATTACTAATTTGATAACATATATAGTATTACAAATGAGAGGCTTTCCACATTCTTCTGTCTACAGTTTTTTCTAGAAATAGGAGCCCTATTCAGTCAACATATTTAATCATTCTTCTATCAAAGAAATACTTGGATATTTGAAATATTTTGATATTTTTTCTTTGAAAAGAAATAACTATATAATTATTGTACATTTAAATTTATATTTAAATCTTTATGTATGATTAAATAGATTCAAATATACTTAATTATTCTTCAACCAAAGATATGCAATCTATTTTATCTGGATTTTTAGTCCATTTAAACCAGTGATGTTTCTTCATCTTTTACAATTAGCAATTAGTAGGTAATATTTGTTCATCATGACACTGATGAAGATTCTAGGGGGCCACTTTGCGTCTCCAAAGTATCTGCCATCTTGTGAGCTCAACAAACATTTCTTCAGTGAAATTAAAAGTGAGCTAATATGGGAAAGGTCAGAATGAAATAAATAGAACAGGTAATTTTTCAAGCACATGTTGAATTTTTATTTTTATAACTACATATTGTACTCTGCCCCTATGTGATGCTGAAGCAGAAATTAATGCTTTATTGCTCTTCAATGTAACACACAAGCACTGAGCTGTGGTTGGTTACAGCAATTGATGCATGTATCATGAGTGTGATAAGTTGTGCCACAGCTATAAATTCATACTACATCCTTAAGCATCACAGGGACAAATAGTGTCCATGCTTTCTAGGCGTGAGCTACAAGACTTGTGGGCAAACTGTGAACCTTTGCAACAGCGCAAAATGTAATCACTGCAGGGAGTTCCTCTGGCTGAGGTGAACATCAATCACCTGCCTTAAGAGAAAGAAACTCCAAGAAAGATTCTAAATGTCACAGCAGCTCCCTCAGATTTCTGAGGATAAAGGTGATGAGGGAATCGCCCTTGTAAAGGGGCAGAATGAAAGACGTAAGACTATGGGATCAGTCTTGTAGCACGGCATTTAACAGCCGCGACTGTTATCATTTAACTACCGTTCAACTATTTCTTCTTTTTATTCTTGTTCAGGCCACAGGACTTACTGCAGGTAACATAAAGCTGGAATCTTCACAGAGTGTCTCAGACATACTTTTTTCCATATGACAGGACAGCTTTAAGGAAATCTACAGCAGGTCTATGCAAACAGAAGAGAGAATTACTTCCTTTGGGATTTAGGCACAACAAAAGCCAACCCAAGCAAACAAAATGTTAAGAAATGTACCTTGACTTCCAGATGAAGTTTCTTGCCTTCCAGTGCTTGTGATTCTCAGTTTGGTCAACACATCTGCTGTCAAGGACCTGCCGTTATAGTAGGGACTTCAGAATACAAAGGGTGTTGAGGAGGGTATATTTTATTCTTACATTAAAACAGGAACACAACCTCTTTTGAAGGCTGTATTACAATCTACATCCTTTTAACTGAAATAAATAGGTCTACTGTACTATATAGTTCTGATTTCTTAAATTTCAAATTCCCAGAGTCTATTTAGATTTTGGCACTTTCTATACAGTACATTAATATCTTCATCTAAATGTTTTATGTGCTCAGGAAGTAGCTTTTATTTCTCTTAGCTTATATAATTATATTAATTATAATCAATTGCTTCATTGCAGACTGTGCATTTCTTACCAAATACTTTTGCTCTATCAGAGCTCCAAACCAATTCAATGTAAGAAAGCACAGCGTTTCCTAAGTAACACTCTAGCCAGACCTGCCTCTGAAAGGTTGCAACCATATGTCCACTGCCAAGGCCTGACTGTAAAACTAGCCTCTCAGTTTTCACTCTGTGTGTAGCCATTGTATCTCAGGACTCTGACTCACTCTTACGTGGTAACCAGGCAAACCAATAGTCTCTTGGTAAATAAGCCTGATGCCGTGTTAATAACATCCTATTTTAAAGTACCTTTTAGTGCCTTACCAGCTGATCAATAAAGAAAATCATATTGAAAGCATTGTAAGAGTCGTAAGAAATCTGTACTGTATTATATTCCAAGTACTTTGGGAAAAAAGAAAAAAATATTATTTCTAGAAAATCTTTCCCCAGAAGAACTATTGTAACTACAGAAAGCTTTTCTCCAGTGTAATTTTATTAGGGATTCCTGCCATCATATCAACATACAAAACAATCAGGATGTTGACATATAGAAATGTGAAATTCACTGTACAAAGATAAGGCTCAAGTTACAGGTATATTTTCCCCTTACACTCCATGAAATAAAACCATTTTTAATTCTTCCCAGAGTTGTGTTTATAAATGTTAGACAAACCACAAAATAGATTTCAAGTACATAACATTTTACAATATTATCCAAGCACAGACAGAAATACACAATACTGTACCTATAGACGCTCCATAGTCCAAGTCTGTCATCTTTACTATTAAAAAGCTGCTACTCTTTCTGAATGTGCCCAGCTCTATCCTTCTGTGTATGACATGGTCCTGGCCTTTAAGTTGTAAGACTCCCATGACTTTTAGCGAAATTATTTTGATAGAACAGAGAATATCAGGAAGGAAAGGTGAGAATTTTAAAAGGCCAGGTCTGAATGGATGCACATGGTTAGTAAATGCAAGCACATGTGCACACACACTTGCATTTAACCCTAGATAAAACTTCACTGCACTGCACAATTTTTTGAGATTATGGTCTCATGCAACATGAGAAAATGAGCATCATAAAATGAGCTATTTTCTGACAAGCGTTAAATCAAGCACTAAGATACTCCTACTTCTGGGGTGCTGTAATTCATAGGGACAAGACTATTGTATCCAACCTTTTTTTTTTTTAAAGTGATTATCAGACTTTCTAGGAGATTGTATGGAACCATGCCGTCACAGTCCAGCAGGATGTCTGTTCCCACAGCCTTCACCACTAAAAACAGCTTTTCTAACCCCTTTGTATAGCAACAATGCAAATGAAGAATTTCTGGTTAAGACCAAATGTCTACCTTTGTTCACTCTCCATTTCTATTCACCTGAATGATTATTACCTTGTGGGAAAGGATCATTTAGCTGCAAGTAGCACAGGAAGAAATAGACATTAAATAACTAATCATTAATGACTCTTCTGGGAAACAGATTAGCAAGGACAAACAAAGACAACAAAAAAACACAGCTGTTTAATTTAGTCTTTGTTGGAGGGGAGATGAATAGCAATCCAAAAGTTTTCAGCTGAGGAAAGGAACTCCTAAGCCCCCTAACTGTTCTGCCTTTTAAAAACTGGAGATTAGAAGGGAAGGAAAAATCTTCTCGGAAAATTGCCATTTTAAAACTAGACACTTGCAAAGGCTTACAAGAGAAAACCAAGCAAAAGATATTCCCTGATATTGAAACTAAAGGAATTTATTCAGTAGGAATTAGACATGTGGTTACAATGTCTTAAATGTACATCTAATAAAAAAGCCTCAAATATGTCTCCATAAATGTCTAAGCAGGAGAGTTTGAAGCCAAAATTTAACTTTCTTAATATGAAACAAGGCTGCACTAAGATTGTGGGAGAGGAGGAATAAATACTTTCTTGTATTAAACAGAACCTCTGTGGTATATTTGAAGGCCTTCAAATGTTCTCAGCATTGACAAGATTTTACGTAAGTATATTCTCTAAGCTATATTGGAATACCTTTAGATATACAAATCCATGTTACACAAAACAGCATTAGATCTCATAACTGGGCTCATAATAACAAGGAATGAGGATAAGTATGATGCTATATGTGAAAGAAGCATATTAGTATGCACAGAAAATATGTTGTCTTAGAGATTAGTCATAAGGGCATCAAGCATGAAGATGCATCTCTTAAAGTGTTTAAGCTTTTAACTGTGAGCCAGTAGATTAATTTTATATGAGCTGTACAGCCTAATGCTTTGCTTTTTAAAAGAAGTATGAAAAATTTATTCCTTTTTCACCTTTTCATGTTATTTATGGTTTTTAAAAGTAGCTCACTCACCTACTGATTTATTTTTGGGTCATTTTTTATCTTTTTTTTTTTTTTTTTTTTTTTTTTTTTTTTTTTTTTTTTTTATAATCTACATTTAGACTGAAGACTCAATCTTTCACTAAACATACTTGGACTATCTTGTGAAGACTTTATACAGAACTGATAAAGTGGAAGACAATCTGGCAGATAAGAGAAAGGATCATTTCAGTTCTGCTCACTTCCCCAAGCTTTAGAACTTTACTGCATTTCAGAAATTCTTTTGCATACTTGCTGTCATTTCACCTCCCCCAGGTAGCCCCTACTGAACTTGAGCGAACTTTCTGTGTTTCCCAAACACAGCCCCTTTGTATATAGCTACATTAAATTAATTCATTCTCCAGCCATAGTTTAAAAACAAATAATTAGTAAAACACTAAAAACACCCTACATGCCCCTCTGCATTGTTCTTACCAATGTGTACATTTAAATAACACCATAAGTTGCCTTTTACTAAAAATTTACCAAAATATCTTACACACATAAAAATGTAAAAAAACAAACAAACAGAAAAAAAAAAACAAAACCAAAAAACCCCAGCATAAACATTGTTTGTATAGGCATTGGTTAGAAGAGATTGTTGCACTAAGGAGTATATTCAAAAAGTTTTTCTTTCAGTATCATCAGTTTTAGTGTCATGGATTGAAAGGTTAAGGACAATGAAACTTATTGTGACCCTGTCTTATATAATGTAATAAATGAACTGGAAGCCTGAAATGTATTATAAAATAAAGCTTCTTTTTGGTTATTGAGAGGTGACTGTATAAGCTGGTCACTAAACTGGCAATTTAAGTATGTAAAGGGAACTTAAGAACTGAAGAGTGTGTAATGAAAACCATACATGAAGTTATGAAGGCAGCTGCCAACAGATGGGCCCATGGGCATTATGGAAAGCTGTCACTAACTGAAACTTTGAATATAGCCCTTAGTTGTATCATATTCATGTAAAATTTAAAAGCTGCCCAGAATATCACGGATGAAGTTTATTTTGCAAGCCATCCACTGCCTAAGGGGGCAGTAATATTCAATATGAAACTGCTGAAACTCTGGTGTCTGACGGATTTCGTGAAGGAAAGAGATTTGAAGGTCCGACTCCAAGAGAACAAGGAAAAGGGGGAACACAAACAACAACAGTCCAAGGCCTACAAGGAAAAGTCTGGAGAAACTCTTCACAAAAGCATTCACCTCAATGTTGCCCATTAGAAAGTCATAGCTCCACCTCAGGGCTCTCCGAGCTTCTTTCAGTTCTTCCTCCTCTGCAATTAAAAATGCATTTTCATCTGCTTCAAGTTCCTCAAATGAATCGGTATCATCTTTCTCATTCTCCGCTCTTGGACAGGTATCAAAAAGCATGTCAATCTCATCATCAACAGGGGTGGGCAGCAAGCTGGCACTTGGATTGTATACCAGCTCTGAGATGGTTAAGGGTTCCTCGTTCATCTTCTCTTCCTGTTCAATGGCAAGATCAACATCCTTCCCAGTATCCTTTACTGGAGAGCTTGAAGTCACAGGTACTGAAATCTCCTCTTCCTTTGGTAGTTGGATACCTGAAAAAAATTAGATTAAAACAATGATACTAAATTTCTCACAGCCTGGTGCCAAAAGTCAGCCCTCCAACAGTATTTAACAGATATATGGAAAGAAGATTCTGCAATAATTTTGCATATTAAAATCAGACTGTACACTGTTATCAAAAACTGGAAAAGCTTTCTGAAAAGGACAGTATCTTTACAAAGCTGCAGTACATCAGATCTGCTTAAGAGGGTCCCACACAACTATGGATGATAATAGTGTAGTGCAAAGTAGAAAAGAGAACAGATTATTTTCTACTGGTAACCTGACTTCTGGTATAAATTAATACCTACTACATGTGCAAATTGGTACTCTTTGGTGAATAATAATAATAACAATAACAATAACAATAACAATAACAATAACAATAACAATAATAACTACCAACTCTCATTGCTTTGAGATGAATGAGTATAGTAAGGTTATAACTAAGGTTGAGAATGCAGCATGACATTAAAAAGAGACAACAGATGATCATGATAAATTGATGTTAACAGTAAAAAGGGCAAAAGGAGAGGAAGGTTAACATATGATATGAGGATTGGATATCATTGGAACAGGATTCTAACAGCCTCACTGATTAAAAAAGCTCCTTCTTGTGTCTTTTTTTTTTTCTGCTCATCTGTTTTTTTAGCTCTTTTCTCATCTAAATTTCTCCCTCCCCTTTACAAAGGAGACTTTCTTATGACACTGTTTTCTGCTCAAGCCCTTTCCTCTCAAAACTTACTCTCCTTTTTCCAGTCTATCTCTAACAGGAATAAGTTTGCAAAGTCTAGCTGTTTACAGCTACATCAAACCTTCAGTGACTGCTATTAGTTGTCAGTAGCAGGAGCGGAAAGGAGGACAGTTGGGCACAAACCTGCCTTACAAAATAGTATTAAGACACCTCCTCATGGAAATTTCCCTTTTTTAAGTATTCAAAATGGCCCAGACAGATCTCTTCCTCTGTAATCTGTTATCTTTTCCCTGCTATCTAGACCTCACTGGCCATGCCTCCAGGTGACGTTTCACATTTTGGTTAATTGACCAAAAAGACAGTTTCTGCTTCCTTTCATTTTGTCTCTGAGAAAAGCAGTTTGGGTTAGTGTCTGATGTTTCTTCTTCCTGAGCTGGCTTGTCATGTGTTCTTGTGGCGACAACACATAACCAGGGATTGAAAAGAGAGCAGGAGAGCTCCTTTCAGCAGCAAATGTGCATAGCTGAAATGAAACCTTGTCTTCAATAATTATTAGCTCAGTAATTTAATTAGTTTAATTTTTGTAAGTTTAATTTTACTTCCTACCTAATAATTTCTTGCCTCAACTACTCTGTCTTCTCTCATCACAGCCAATTTAGAAATTCATCACTTTTCAGCATTTTACTTAATCGTTTACACCAGTCTTTACACTAAGAAATATATCTGTCACAGTCATCAGGAGGAGGATACAAACCAACTGAAGTGAGACAAAACAGTATATGAACACCAAGAAGTGAGAACAGATTTGGAGGATCTTTCTCCTAAGTAACAGAAGGTAATGCTGGATCATCAAACCAGTTACTTGAGAGTACACCCATGATAAATTACTAAAGCCAAAATAGTTTCACTCTGGGACCCAGCATCAAAAGTCTATACATATCTTTATATGTATATACCTATACACAAGCACTACCATTTGATTCTCAAATATGTTTTTCAATTATTCTTAATATGAGTAGGATTTAAGTTGAGCCACTTACTTAGACATTTCAAAATGGTTGAAAGCACCCAATTTTACTCTCCCAAATTTGAGAATCCTGGTCATAGGCCTCTCTATATCAACTTAGATGCAAGGTCAGTAATATATCTTCATCATGTTACTCATCATAGAGGACAGCTGCAGCTAACCAGAAAGAAAGGTCACCCCAATTTATGATTCTTGAGCCTCCTCTTTCTCCCCACAGTAAATTCCAGCTTGCATAAACTACACAGTGAACATGAACAACACACTAACTTTCATTAAAACTGTGTTTCTCAAATAACTGGCAAACTTCTGACTATGAGGTTAACCTGTTGATAGAAGGCAACAAAGGAGTCTTTTCAAGTCAGTGTTCTTGTTTCCTGAAGGGTTTGTATTAAAATTGTAGTGTGTTGCAGCTCTGATGTGCACATTAAATTTACATTCCACTATAAATTTCAACTGCTAAAAAGAATTTTCAACTCCTTTATTTGTTATTTAAACTCATTAAACCAAAATAACTGCATTTTATATCAGTCAAATACTAGTGTAAATCAATACGTGAAAATTTAGAATGGGCATTAAATGCTGCTTCTGCTGCAAGCTGATTTGATATTTTAAAAAATTAAATACATAAAGTTGTTCTTTTTGGTCCTTCATATTCTCTGTAGTACTACAACATTTTTTAGTGTTTTTAATGATGAAAGAACAGGCTATTAACCAGGGTCAACACAAGTGACTCCAGCAAAGTTCCAGTCATGTTGCAATAATATAGGTAAGTATGTCATGACATTCATATTTTGATGGTTTCAAAATACCTAACTGTAAAATTATTATGGCAAGCATAATTTACAAAGCTTATGCAGGCCTAAGAATATCACATTAGAGTACCAAAACTTCACAGTACAATGAATATTCCAGTAACACAAATTTAAGAGAGAAGAAAGAATTTGGATTTTTTACTTTTCAGAGAGAAAAGAGAAAGACAGTTATCTGAAATAATAAAATCAAGATAAAATAAAAAAAAAAATCCTCAAAATGTTCCAATGGAAAAATAGAATGCTAAAGTTAAAGTAAGCCTAACTCCTAATACTCTTTAATTATTCTACAGCTCTACTGCAAATCCTTTCCTCCTATTCATACATAAAAATTATTTTCATACTACACTTATATGGCTATCATTTTATATAATTTGTTGGCAAGATTTTGAAAAGTCTACCGCCTTTTTAACAATAGCTAAAATTTTTGTGGTGTTCAGATTTAGAGGAGTATGAGTTGAGAATTAAATTACATTTGAGAAGAACCTCTTCTTTCCAATTTTTACTTTATATTCTTACTGGCAATTTACTTTCCATAAATCAGAAACTTCTAATAGAGATTATTGGAGTATCAGGTAAATAAACTCAGGTTTGTTTCTTATATTTCCACAGCAAAGGCTTGCTACAGTCTTCTGGCAACTGAACAAATTTTACAAAACCAGAGATCTCATTATCCTGGGTGAAACTCAGTACTCCCCTTCCACCAAATACTGTGATTGCTCCAAACCAGGAACACGAACCTCTGAATAAGACATGAGATTACTGTGGTCATCTGCTGTGAACATGAACGTGCAAGAGGTCTGGCATAAAAGTTGTCAGCTGCTAGTATTTCTACGGAGGCCAAAACCAGCAGCTGAGGATGAACAAAATGAGAGACAGCTCTAGCTCCACCATTCTTAAGAAGCTGCAGTTGCTAGAAGTACAGTGCCTCAGAAAAATGTATCATCTGCTTACTAAAAAAATCAGTTCACATATTGTCTGCTGGGCAGATATCCCGCACATGGCTTTTCTTACTAGAATCACAATTACACACCTATAACAGCCTTTTATATTGTAGGAAGGAACAAGTGTGAATATACCCTCATTTTAAGGAAAGAAATGGAAAATTAGATATGGTCCAGAGAGAGAACAGTGCTAGTAACATTTCATACATGCGTGTAAACAAAAATGGCCAGCGAGGCTACAACTAGGAGAAATCCTTCCTGTCCTTTTCACTTCTTCCTCTAGGAATATCATGTATCCTTTGTTTATTTTCCATGTGGACAAAATTAATTTGTACTATGAATAGAATGACTCTTCAGAGGGAAGGAGAAGGTGATTTTCTCACATTCAGGCAAAGTGCCTGAATGTCACAAAGAAAATGTAGAAAAAGGAGACAAACTCTAGAATTACATTGAACTTAAATATTTCCCTACACAAGATCTGTGTCAAGCAGGATCTGCATCACAGCCAGAGCTCCTGCCCTCAGAAATAGGAGGTCACAGATTTGTACTATACCCATATCCTATGCCCATAAAATACACCTGTTATAGCTTTGCAAGGAGAGCTAATCAACGAGAGTTTATAGTAACTCCTTTTTAGGCAGTGACCTGCCTTTCCTGCTGGCCATTACTGTTTGCTTTAGTTTAATGGGAACTTCTAGAAACGAGCAAAGCCCTGTCCCTTTTGCCAGTAGGTATGAGCTGCATGTTTTGTGGCATTACAACTTGCCTCCCAGCTATGTTGTGTCATGGTGTTCAATGTCACAGCTAGTACAGCTACTGAAGGCCACTGCTCTGCTTTTCACACCCCAGAAAGGGCACCCAAGGCACAGAGGCAGAAGCAGAACAGAGCATACTGCACAGTGGGCATTCTGGGATGCCTGTCTTCAATCTCCCTTTGGCCTGGAAGGAGCTGGAGCTCCTTCCCAGAGTTGTTGATCTCCTTCCAGAAACAGCAGTAAGCAGCAATAGGACAGAAGGAAGCACCAGGGAGAGACAACTGTGGATCATGGGAGCAGGAGTGAGAAGGAAAGATACACCTGTCAGCAGTTCAGAAAAAGAAGGACCTGGTGATGGGAGTGCAGTGACTCAGTGCCCAGCACGCCAAGGACAGTGAAGCGGAAAGAGCTGAGTACTGATGTGAAAGCTTAGCACCCAAGCAAAAGGGCAAGAGGGACATTTCAGCATTCCCACTCAGATTGGGTGACCCCTCCTGGCACAAGTCAGCCTTGTTCTGAAAGGGTCGCAATGGGGTTCTCCCGAGGAGTTATGTCCCATGTTAGGAGTCTTGCACAGGCTACCTCCTGTGCTTTGGTGCTGGTATACATGTTTTAAATGCTGAGATACATATACATATACATATACATATACATATACATATACATATACATATACATATAAACCAACAAGATGTCTTGCATCTATTTGGAGACGGTATTTAACCTCTGAGATGTAAGAATACAAAACACATGTCAATAATAAT